GGCCGGGCTGTGTGAGGGGAGGGCTACTTCTGGGCGTCGTGTTCTCTGGCCCTGGTCTATAAGCCAGCGTCACACTGTTTTGATTACTGTATTTCATAGTAAGTTTTAAAATCAAGAAGTGTGAGTCCTTGAACTTTGTTCTTTTTCAAGATAGCTGGGCTATTGGGTCTCTGGAAATTCCTTATATGTATTAAGATGGATTTTTTTATTTGGCAAAAAAGTTTTTTTTTTTTTTTTAAATGAAACATATTTAGTTCCTTACGAGAAGTTGACTCATTTGCCAGAGGTACTATGACTACGGCTGTCCTGGTCTGCAGTGCCTTGGGTGGGACCGCACCTCCCCAGGTGTGACTGAGATGGGCGTCCCCAGAGGTCTCGGGCACAGGATTCAGAAGTGTCCTCAGCCGCTGTGGTTTTTAGAGACCCGCTGAAGGGGACTGTCCAGCTGGGACCCCGGCAGGCAGGTGGTAGGCTGCGGTCCAGGGCAAGGGGACGGCGGGGGAGGGGCTCCGGGCGCGGGGAGTCCTCGCCAGCTCCCGGCAGAGCTTGGAGCCCCGAGGCCGACCCGACCCTGAAACAGCGTGACGCCCGGATCCGGGTGCGAAGGGAGACGCGGAGCTTCCGAGCGGCTGGGGGAAGCGGTGCCGCTGACCGCACGGGCCTGGGCGGCCTCCTGCGTGCGCTGCCCACGGGCTCCCCCCTTCCCGCGTGGCATCCTCCGCGGTTCCCGTCCAGCCCAAGCCCCTCGTTTTCCGCGTTGCCCGCTCCTCCGCCCCGCCACTCCAGGGGCGTTTCCTTGCGCGCTCTGCCTGCGGCGGGTCCTTGGACGGTTCCCAGGCTGGGTCTGCGATGAGGGGGCACCGCGTCCACGCGCGTCCGCGCCCTGCCCCGCGCCGCCTCGGAGCTGCGGTCCCCGCAGGTGTGTGGACACGCGGTGGACCGCGCCGGGGCGCTGGGATCCGCCGCGCTCTTGCGGGTCCCGCAGGCTCAGCCCCGCTGCTCGTGTCTCTGCTGTGGCCGCTGACTCTGCGCCTCCAGGGCTCCCTCGGGTACACAGTGCGGCGGCTGTGAAGCCGCCTCTCCCGGTGACCAATGAGCTTTGTCCCTCTCGGATGTCTTCCCGGGGGCTCCCCTGCGTGCGGGTCCTAATCACTGTTGACTCCCCCGCCCTCTGCGCGGAGGACCCGGAGCCAGCGGGAAGACGCAGCCCCCGTCCCAGCCTGGCGCCGTGTGGGGCCGCGGGGACAGCCGCGTTGCTGGCTCGCGGTCACGGGAAAGGCCACGCTACCGGCCACGCGTCCTCACACACTCACTTGGCTGATGGTGGTCACCCGTGAGTGATGCCAGCGGGCGTCCAGCCTTGCTGGGAGCGCACCGGTCCCGTGCGCGAGCCCTCCCCGACACCCCCTGCCTTCCTGGGCACTGGCTCTGCCACCTCTGTGTCACCTGCCCTCGCGGGGCGCTTGGCCTGACCCGCTGTGGCCCCCCTAACGGTTTCCTAACTTTGAGTGGAAAGTGGATTGGGTTTCACAGGAGCTTTCAGGGCCCTCTTGAAAAGCAGCCTCACTCTTCTTGGGTGTTGCCAAGGCCAACAGGGGCTCAGAGGGGCAGGGTCCACCCGAAACTGAATGTCGGGGTGTGGCCTCTGCCAAGGACCACAGGCTCGCGCTCTCCTCTGTGGTTCCCAGCACCGGCCGCGCGCAGCTGTTTGTCCATGTGGGTCAGAGAACAGCACCCGGGCGCTGTGTTTCTGTTCTGTGCTTTGCTGTGGATTTGAGTGTGGAAGGGCCTGTCCGAGAGCTCACAGCTCCCAGAGCTCGTCCCTGTGTAAGCAGCACCCGCTTCACGGTAAGGAAGGCTCATGGGTCCCGCCCCTGTGCACTTGTTAAAGTTTATTACTTTTTTAATATTAAACATGAGATTATTAAAGATTATCATCATCCATCTGTCTGGCACACACGGCTGTGATCACAGCTCTATAATGTCTCGTGTCCGGCTTTTTTTCCACTGCGTAGTAAGAAAACCGTATCCCCAGGTTGTAAAGGAGCACAGGCATTTGCCCCGGCTCCTGGGGTCCTTCTTGCCCGACGCGCCCAGCGTCCTCCACATCACACAGACGAGCATCCGTCCTGCAATTTCAGGTGGTTCCTAATCCCATCCTCTTCTAGACAATTTTGTGTGAACCAACCTTATCCACAAAATCTGTGAGCATCCAGTCCTTTCTCCCGGATAAACTCTGAGAAGCGTGTGCACTAAATACAAGTGTCCCCAGGCACCGGGACAGTGCGCCCTGGTCTCCACCACTGCACGCACCACAGCTGTAAGAATGAGCCCAGCTCTTAGAGGATTGGTTTATGTGGAAGCGTCACAAAGTTCACGGTCAGATTTACCAGACCGAGCATCAGGAGGAGCTGGTGTCAGGGGAGATACCCGGGGAGGGGGGGAAGTGTGGGTGCTGGATCTGGGCAGCCCCGGCTCCAGGGATCAGCGCCAGCGGAGGTGGGGAGGAGGGCTGAGCAGGAAGAGGTGGGGAAGGGAGCATGGCTGGGACAGCACTGGGACCTCGTCAGCACACGAGAGGTGGGTTTTCTGAGGCTCAGTGACCAAGGAGCCTGCAGATGGCAAAGCCGAGCTGGCAAGGAGGAAGTTTCTCTTTGGTCAAATCTGGTCCATGGATGGATCAGAGTATGAGGGAGACCCCCTTCTCCCTAGGGAAACGTGGAACAGGATGTCTGGTCCTGAAGACTCAGTCTGCGTCATTCCTGAAGGGGATGGGCGCAGAACGGTGTGTTGGGGCTATGGGATGAGTCATCATGTGTGGTCAGAAGCCGGGATTGGCGGGAGCCGCCCTGAGCCTCTGCTTATATCTCAGATTTTGCACTGACAGCAGACGGGGACACAGCAGCTGGACTGGGAGCAGCAGGGCTTGCAGCAGCTGGACTGGGAGCAGCAGGGGACACAGCAGCAGGACTGGCAGCAGGATGACCCACAGCCTGAAGGGCAGCAGCACGGTTTGCAGCAGCTGGACTGGGAGCAGCCACAGGAGCCACAGGAACTACAGCCCCCACAGGAGCCACAGCCCCCCTTGGAGCCCCCACAGGAGCCACAGCTGGAGCAGGAACAGGCTGGCACACAGCAGCACATGGGCTTGCAGCAGCAGACGGGGACACAGCAGCGTGAGCCGCAGCCCCCACAACCAGAGCCGCAGCCCCCACAGCCGGAGCCACAGCCCCCGGAACAGCCACAGCAGCCCATGGTTCTGGTGGGTTGAGGGTAGAGCAGGTTAGAGGAGCAGGTGCAGAGGACAGGTGCTCAGGTGTGGGGCCTCCTGGGCTGGGGCCCTTTATACACCTGCTCAGGTCAGCTGGGATGCTGGGCACACGGTCACTTCCTGGTTCCTGTTGTGCCACTCCTGCCGACTGGTGACTTTCTCTCTGTCCCTCTCACTGGCTCCGGCTGCACCACGTTCTAAATGTGGTGTCTTCCGCTCTCGGTGGTCCCTATAACTATAAACCAAGCTCTGGCCTGTTCTGCTTCTTGGCATTCCTAGGAACTGGTCACCTGTCTTTCGTGCTGACCATGAGTGGGCTGCGAGGGGAGAGGAGACCTGCAAGCCCTGCACGGCCCAGTCCCCACGGGCCTGGCTTCTCAGCGGCACTGCGGGGAGGGGCCCGTGGCCTGCAGTCAGGGCTCATTGATTTACTGCCCAGGATCTGGCTCCTTCCAGCAGATTTGGAAGACTGCTAATTTCCAATTAATTTTTAGACTAATTTTATTATTTAGTATACTAAAATTAATTTTTTTATTTGAAGCAACAAATGCATGATTTAAAAATTTTTACTATTCTCTTAAGGACCTGGTGTTCCCGCCAGGCCCTCTGTCCCTGCAGGGCTGTCTGCACTACTGAGGTCATAGGGGCTCCTGCAGCCTGTGGGGGGGGGGGCTGGAAGCGGGGTCTGCCGGCCTGGGGCGGCCCCCGCCGCTCTGCTTCACCCAGTGTCTGCCGGCTTCCACCCTGGGCGCTCCACCCACCCGGTGAGGTCCGGGTTCCGGGAGCTCCTCCCTCGTCCCTCACCAGCCTGTTGTCACCACGGGACCCTCACGTGCTTGCTGGTCTGTCAGTTTTCTGCCTTACATATTCCCTGGGCAGCCCGTTCCACTCACGACAGACCCCGTGTCCTCAGGGGCTGTGAGACCAGACCTGTCTGGTCCCCTCTGGGACCTCGGGTTCTCTCACTGCCCCTCTGGCTCCCGAGTCTCCAGCTCCCTCCTGACGTCCCACCCGCAGCCCAGTGCCCTTGGCTTCTGCCCTAGCTGTCCCGATGTCCTCACTTCCTTCCGATCTTTGCTCAAGTGACACGGTCTCAGCAGGGTCTTAACTCCAGAAATGTCGCCGTTCCTCAGCTTGCCCCGCTCGGCCTGCCCTCTTCCTTCCTTCCTGGCTCACCCACCCCATTCACGGACAGGGACCTTCTGTTCCGCTCGCCGGCCTCTCCCGCCCCGCAGGGGAGCTCAGTAAAAGCGCGAACCTTCTACCCTCCTGTCTTCCCCGTACCTTGAAGAGCCCCTGAGACGTAACAGGTGCCCCACAAACTTGCTGAATGGACTCGTGGGTTTTCCCGGGAGTTCAGGACAGAAGCAAAAGAGCGCAGGTCCGGCATCTGCTTTTGAATCCACTGTGCTTCGGTAGAGTGTGCTGGCCCCACGGGAAACCCGCACGCTGCGAGCCCACAGACCAGGACGCTCCGCAGAGGGAGCCCCGCGCGGCCCCCACTGCTTGCGTCTGGTGCAGAGCGGCCCCCACGCCAAACCCGGAGCCCACAGCCCCTCTGCAGACGGCATCCCCTCTCCTCAAAGACCTGCTGTCCTGATCTGTGCCCCCACTGGTGGACGTTGACGTCTGTGGAGTTCTAGGCCACGTGTTCGCTGACCCCACTCTGCGTGTGTTTATGGTGTCCTGGAGCCCTTTTCTTCTCACTACTTAGCAGCACCACCTCGAAATGACGGACGCCCCCGCTTGTGTGTCCCATCTGCTGCGGGTACACACGTGGGTCCGGCTTTGGGCTGCTGTGCACGGCGTCCTGGGGACATCTCTGCACGGGACCCGTGAAGCTCGGGGCTCGCTCCGCTGTGCGGGCGCCCCAGGGCGGAGTCGCTACCTCTCGGGACAGCGTCCCATGTTGGCGGGTGGGACCCAGTGCAGCAGGGCCCGTGGCAGCTCCCACGGCTATCTGCCGCGTTCGGGGGCTCTAGCCGCTCACGTCCTTGCCTGTGCGCGCTCTGGCCGGGCTTCCGCTCGACGGCTCCCGTCCTGTGTGCGTGGACAGCATGGTTGGGTTTTACTTGGTATTTCTCATGAGGCAGAGAACTGGATAGGAGGTCCTTGTCTGAACAGTGTGTGCTCTGGTCTCCTCCCATTTCTCTGCCCTGTGTCCATCGCTCATTAACACCATCATTCCGCGGGAATCGTACTCCCTCTGGAGCACTGGCCCCAGAGCGGCTGGGCACAGACCTGGGTCTGGTGCTGGGTGTCCTGTCTCCTTCTTGGGCCGGGCGGGTGCAGGGGGGCCACCAGCCCCATGCTCACCGTGGCCACCATCCCTTCCCTGTGGAGAAATCCTGGCCCAATGCTCTATTTGCAAGTTGCTTATCTGCCTATCCTTTGCTGTCGACGTGTCTGTGGTTTTATTTCTACGGGTGTCGTTGTAGCAGCATTTAAGAAATTTTGTTTAGGGACACTTGAGTGGCTCAGTCATTAAGCGTCTGCCTTCAGCTCAGGTCATGATCCCAGGGTCCCAGGATCGAGTCCCACATCAGGCTCCCTGCTCGGCGGAGAGCCTGCTTCCCCCTCCCTCTGCCTGCCTCTCCTCCTACTCATGTTCTTTTCTGCTCTGTGCTCTCTCTCTTAAACAAATAAGTAAAAAAACTTAAAAAAATGTTTTTTGTTTCGTTTTTAAAAACTAGCCTGTCCACACTTGTCCTTTAACTGGACACTCAGGGCGTCAACATCTCCTGCCATCACTATTCAGGCTTAAATGCCCCATTTCACGCCTCGCTTTCCTGGGGTCTGTCCTCTCTCTCCACTGACAGAAAACCTGATTTTTACCCTTTCTGCTCCTGTGAGGTATCGAGCTCGTTTTACTCTTCTTTCCATGCTTACCCTGGATCTGAAAATGCACTTTTCTGACGCATAAAAATCACATCAACTGTAAGTATTTTCTGGTTCTGCGTGGCAGAGAACGGAGGACCCCTGGCCACGCTCCTCATCCCACGTTTCCCACATCGTGGCTCCTAATTTTGTGTAAAACGTAAGCCCCACAGTCTGTGGAGCCCAGAGCTCTTTGGCGTTATCCTTTCCTCCCTGCGCTCCTCCCTGTGGCTCGGAGCTGCCGCCAGGTGCCGGTTGGCTCTGCCTTCACAGTCCTCCAGCCGGGGCCGCGCGGCCGCTTTCCCTCGGTTCCGTGCGGCTGGAAGAGCACGGACGGGCCACGCGGGTCCGCAGGGTGTTTCTGCTGGTGTGAACCTCGGGAGGCTCAGAAAGAGAAAACCATCACCACTTGCTTCTTGGGAACTTAAAAAATGCTCAACGGAAAGGAATCTGGTGGAACACAACATGGGTAACGCACTTTGGCGAAGTGGGCTTTACCCCTGGGATTCGGAGTTGGTTTCCCGAGTCCATGGAACTAACCACGTGAGGGAATCGGGAGAAAACCCACACGGTCTTGTCGACGCATCCAGTGAGCGTCAGGCCGGCAGCGACAAAACGGACAGACGGACACACTCGGGGCGGAGGAAGATTGGCTTCCTCAGCGCGCTCCCCACGCGCCCGTGGGAGCCCAGGATCGCGACTCCGCTCAGAGCGAGCCTCTCAGAGTGCGGGACGACAGAAGCATCCTCTGGGCTTTCAGTGGCGCGATGGCATGTGCTGATGAGTTTTGGGGAAATCATGGTCTTCAGTACAGCGCGTGAATGTAAGGCTGCTTTCTGCTCATCAAACCCTCTTTAATTTCTCCCAGTGACGTGTCGTGATTTTCGTTTTAAAGTGTTGTGCAATTTTTTGTATGACTTACATTTCTAGGTATATGATTTTGGGGGGATGAATTATAAATGCTGTTGGTTTTTAATGTACTTCCCCCCTTTTTTATGACTTACTTAAGTTCAATAGTTAACATAGAGCATGTTCCCGGTTTCAGGACTAGAGGTTGGTGATTCCTCAGTCGTGAGTGACCCCCAGTGCTCACTCCAACACGTGCCCTCCTTAAAGCCCACCACCCGGTTACCCATCCCCCATTCCCATCCCCTCCAACCCTCAGTTTGTTTCCTAGACTTATGAGTCCCTTATGGTTTGATTTCGCCTCGTTTATACTTTCCCCTCCCTTCCCCTGTGACCCTCTGTTTTCTTTCTTAAATTACATATTTGAGTAAAATCAGTCGATTGTTGTCTTTCCCCAATCGACTGATTTCACTGAGCATTATATCCTCGGGTTCCATCCACGTCATTGCAAAGGCAGGATTTCCCCTTTTTTGATGGCTGAGTAATATTCCACTGTGCATATGGACCACGTTTTCTTTATTTGCTCACCCGTTGATGGACATCTGGGTTCTTTCCGTAGTTTGGCCATTGTGGACATTGCTGCTATAAACATTCGGGTGCACGTGCCCTTCCTTTTCGTTACATTTGTATCCTTTGGGTGAGTCCCCAGAGTGTGACCGCTGGGGCGGGGGTGGCTCCATGTCCCCTCCCCGAGGACCCTACCTGCCACATCCCTGCGTGGCTGTCCCAGCTCACATCCGGCCCGCAGGGACGAGGCTCCCCTTTGTCCGCATCCTTGCTGACACCTGGCATTTCCCAACTCACTCCGGCCGTTCTGACAGGCGTCACAGGGCATCTCGTCGTGGTTTTGATGTGTTTTCCCTGAGGCCCTGTGATGTGGAGCATTTTGTCACGTGTCCGTGGGCCATCTGGGTGATGCACTCTTCTAAGTGTTGTTGGCATATAAGGGAAATCGATTTTATGCTGACCTTTTACCCAGCGCTCTTGCTAATCTACTTCTTGATTAGAATACTGAATTTGTAGATTATTTTGAATTTCCTTCTGTGTCTGTGCACTTGTTTCCTGTCCCTTCCTTGACACACACAGCCTGCCTTCACGCTTGGCGCTTTGCTCCCATCCAGGGGCCCGAGGGTGCGTCAGCCCCACCCGTCCTGCTGGTTCCCTCGGACCATGTGTAGACTCTGAGCTGCCGTCTCCCTCATCCGTCACCGTCTCTGCTGGGGCTGCCAGAGCAGAGCACCACGCCGGGGCTTCAAGAACAGACATTCTCTCCCTCACCACCCCAGAGGCCGGACGCCCCAGAGGAAGCTTGGTTTCAGGTGAGGCCTCTCTTCCCGACTTGCCGTTGGCCACCGGCCCGCTGTGTCCACACACGGCCTTCGCTTGTGCACAGAGCAGGGAGATCTGGTGTCTCCTCCTCTTCCATAAGGACCCCAGTCCTATTAGGTCTGGGGCTTGCCCTTATGGCCTCACTCAACCGTAGTGACCTCTGCAGACATGCTGTCCCTTCACAGTCCCCCCTGTAGACCACCGTCCCTCACAGTCCCCTCACCTGGGGCGCTGGGCTTCAGTGTGTGAAAGTTTGGGGACATGACTCCGTCTGTGACAAGCCCTTGCCGTATGTTCCCGGGCTCGGGCTCTCTGTTCCTTCCTGCACATCCGTGTTTTTATGGGATTGTTTTCCTTCCGCCTGAGGAGCTTCTTTCTGCATTTCATTTTTTTTTAAACATTTTATTTATTTGTTCGACACAGAGAGAGATCACAAGTAGGCAGAGAGGCAGGCAGAGAGAGAGAAGGAAGCAGGCTCCCTGCCGAGCAGAGAGGCTGATGTGGGCCTTGATCCCAGGACCCTGAGATCATGACCTGAGCCGAAGGCAGAGGCTTAACCCACTGAGCCACCCAGGCGCCCCTCTTTCTGCATTTCTTGAAGCGAGAGTTCGCTGGTATGAAATGTCGTGGCTGTGTTTGCTCTGGGGGGCCGTGCAGGGATGCGGGAATGAGGGTCCCGGCCCGCTACCATCTCCGAGGGACAGGCATGCGGTCAGAGGGACAGCTGGTGCAGCCCGTGTCTGCCCTTGGGTCAAGGGACCCCTGGCCAAGCACCGGCCCTTTGGGGACTCCGTGGGCGTCACAGGATCGAGTCAAAGAGGTGTGAGATTCAGGGTCTTGCCGCTCCAGGAGGAAACCTGGTGTAGTTCAGAGAAGGGGACGCACACCCCGTACTTACATTACATTCCGGGGTGCCAGAGCCACGGGAACCCCAATACCCCAAGACTGGGCTTTATTTCAGGTAACAGACAGTTCTGCAACTGGGTTGGGTCCCGGGGCTGCCATAACACACGGTCACCTCGCCGGTTCTGGGTCAGAGTCCGTGGCGGGTCTCCTCGTGTGAGCGTCGAGGCATTGGAGGGCCCTGTTCATTTGTGGAGACGTTGGGGAGCAGCTTCCCCTTGTCTTTTCCGGCTTCTGGCAGCCGCCAGCTTCCCTTGGTCAGGACCGCTGTCTCATCTCCCGAGCCAGCAGTGGAGCCCTCACGCTGCCTCAGCTGCCGCTCCCTCCCCATTTCAGGACCCCATAGTGGGTAACCCAGGACGATCTCTCTGGGGCCGGCTGACGAGGACCGTGAGGCCCCCTTTGCCGCATAGCAGGTGCACCAGGTGCGGGGATGAGGACAAGATGTCTCTGGGGAGGCACCGTCCCACTACTGCAGTGCGGGTTGCTCAGAGGGCCGGCTGCCCGCCGAATCCAGATCCAGGCCCTGCACCTTGACAAGCACCAGGCCCATCGATCGGGGCATATTGTGAATGTCACCTCACGAGGTCCCAGAGGTCCTGGCACTCCCGCCTTGTTTTCTGTCCAAACATCACGAGAAGGCAAAGGCAGGTGGGCTGAGCCTGATCCCGTCTGCAGCCAGAGCTGCAAGGGAGTCTGGAGAGTGTTTCCCAGGCTCTGCTGGGCCAGGGGAGCAGGACAGAGAAGCTGCCGGCCCCAACACTCCAAGGTCACTGCCCCATGAGGGGGTCCCACAGCTGGACGGTCACCGGTGTAAGACTCCAGCCCCGTGTCCTGACCTGGAGCCCGGACCTCTGTGCCCCCTCACCAAGCCTGAGACGCCCCATGCCAAAACCTTGGTGGAGGACACTCGGGGCGGTGGAGGACACTTGGAGCAGCTGCATTCGCGGGGGCGGCACGTGGCCAACCGGCGTTTCCCCAAGCCCATTGCCAGAGACCTTCCTTGTTCATCTGTGCGCAGTGAAGACACCACAACGGAAGCGTCAAACCGAATGAAACGAAGTTGTTTCGTGGTGACCAATGACTTTATTGAAAGGGGATTTTGGTGTATTTTAACAGACAAATATGGCAACATGTTGGGAAGGAAGGAGCCTTCCTGGACTGGACATTGTCGGTGGGAGGAGGCGGCTCAGACGTGATGAGACCGTGCTTCCTCGGAGTGCGGGGCCAGTGGGGGACGTTGCTGACCCGTCACTGGTAAAGCCTGAACGTGGGGTCAGCGCCTGGAAGGGGCCACTTGCCTTTTATGGGACTGGGTCAGCATTAGACTATGCCCTTCCTCTGGGCAAGACTCTCTCGGGGGACAGCAGAGAGAGCCGTGGCCCGTCATGCAGAACGGAGCTTCAGGTGCTGGAGATGGGCACGTGCAGGAAGGATGGGTGAGAGGGCGAGAGCTCTTTGGGGGTTGATGGGACCAGGGGCCTCACTGCACACTGCAGCCGTAGGAAGTTAGCAGAAGCCTGGATGGGCCGTGCCATCAGATCTTGCACTGGCAGCAGACGGGGACGCAGCAGCTGGACTGGGAGCAGCAGGGCTTGCAGCAGCTGGACTGGGAGCAGCAAACGGGGACACAGCAGCTGGACTGGGAGCAGCAGGGGACACAGCAGCAGGACTGGCAGCAGGATGACCCACAGCCTGAAGGGCAGCAGCACGGTTTGCAGCAGCTGGACTGGGAGCAGCCACAGGAGCCACAGGAACCACAGCCCCCACAGGAGCCACAGCCCCCCTTGGAGCCCCCACACGAGCCACAGCCCCCCTTGGAGCCCCCACATGAGCCACAGCCCCCCTTGGAGCCCCCACAGGAGCCACAGCCCCCCTTGGAGCCCCCACAGGAGCCACAGCTGGAGCAGGAACAGGCTGGCACACAGCAGCACACGGGCTTGCAGCAGCAGACGGGGACACAGCAGCCGGAGCCGCAGCCCCCACAGCCGGAGCCGCAGCCCCCGCAGCCAGAGCCGCAGCCCCCACAGCTGGAGCCACAGCCCCCACAGCCGGAGCCGCAGCCCCCGGAACAGCCGGAGCCGCAGCCCCCGGAACAGCCACAGCAGCCCATGGTTCTGGTGGGTTGAGGGTGGAGCAGGTCAGACGAGCAGGTGCAGAGGACAGGTGCTCAGGTGTGGAGACTTCTGGGCCGGGGCCTTTTATACACCTGCCCGGGGTCAGCTGAGATGCTGGGCACATGGTCACTTCCCTGTTGTTACTGCCTCCCCTGGCCCTTTGTTCCTTGTGTTTCCTCCTTCCCAGAAGCCGCGGACTCTCACCCGCCGTGGTGGTGTTCTGCTCATTCTGTCCCATCTTGGGCAGAGGTTTGTTTTTCTGCTGAAGATGCCTGAACATTTTTCTGACTTTGTTTGGCAACATCCCAGGATCATGAGAGTGTGCCCCACGGGGACACCCTCTTCTTAGTCGGGCCTGGGTTGCAGCCCCCTCCCCCCTCCCTCTGTCCCTGGTGGGACCTCAGATAAGGCCTGGGGGCCCTGCGTGGAGTTCTCCCCAAAGCTGGGGTGTGCTCGGGAGAGCTGGGCTCTGAACCGCGGCGGACGTGGAGGACAGCTGGAGAGAGAAGCCCCGAGGCTTGTGGAGAGGAGATGGGCAGGCTGCCTGTGAGCCCGGGCAGTGCGGGGGGCCAGTGCTCCCGCATTCTGCTGGAGACTGCATGGCCACGGGCCAGGATCGGTTGCTGGGCGGCGCCCAGTGACCTCAGACTGGCAGGCAGGGGCTGTGGCCCAGGCTGGCCCACCGAGAAGGGTGAATGCTTAGCAGCAAGCTAACAGAGAGCAGTCCTGGACATGGGGAGCTGCCACGTGCCCGCACTGGAGCTGTCAGCCCCCTGCGGGCGCCACACCAGGACGGCGGCGGGGAGGTGAAGGCTTTCTTCTTGTTTCTCGTGCACCCGGTGGATGGGGCTGCTTCTGGGAGGGGACTCCTGTGTGTGTGTTTGGGGGTTTGGCCAAGAGAATATTCTTTTGCAGGGGCAGAGAGAGAGAGAGTGCAGGGGTGGAGGGTCAGAGGGAGAGGGAGAGAGAGAACCCCAAGCAGGCTCTACGCTCAGCACAGAGCCGGACACGGGCTCTATCTCACGACCCTGAGATCACGACCCTGAGATCATGACCCGAGGCGAAACCAGGAGTCAGATGCTCAACGAACTGAGACCCCCAGGCTCCCTCCACAGAAAATCCCTTGGAGAGGTGAGGCCGGTAAACAGCATTCAGAAAGGCATTCCATGTGGGGGAGGAGCAGGTGTAAAGGCCACAAGGCAGGGAAAGGGCTCGGGGTGTGTGTGAGCTGGCGGTACCCGCTTCAGGCTCCGTAGGTGGGGAGCGGAGACCGTGTGGGTGGGAGCGGGGCAGGTGGGGGCGGTGGGGGGGTTGCTCTGGGTGAACCTCACAAAGAGGTCTCCGTTCTGTGCAGAAGGTGGGTCTCCCTCCTTCTAAGGTTATCATGGGCCAAAGCTAAGCTTATCATGGGTCAAACTGGGGAGGCCGTGGGGGAAGTCTCCTGCCTCTGACATATGGAAAAATGGGGAAGAAAGGAAACGGAATAAAACTTTGAGTCGGTGCACCAGGCCCCCCGGACCCCCTGAACCTCTTGTGTGGTTTTACACACAAGAGCCTCCGTCAGGCATCTGCCTCTGGCCGGACCCCGCCCAGTCACCAAGCGCCCCAGGAGAGACCCGGAGAGCGTGCCGTCTTCTTCCATCCCACGAGCAGTTTATGGGCAGAGGATGATGTTCCTTGAATGTTTCATCAAAGTTGTTCTGGAAATATCCGGGCTTGGTATGGTTTCCAGGCGGCACACGATCTAGAGTGTTAGGATTTTACTTACCGGATTTTATTTCTTTAATTGGATTTTTTAATAATGGTGTTTATCCTGGGGGATTTGGGGATTCCTCGTCCAAAGGCTTTAGGGGGAAGGTGCCATCCAGGGGCCCCCGGGACGCAGTGCCCCTGTCGTCCTCCCGAGCTTTCCCAGGTGCCGTAGGGGACGCCGGTCCTGCAGATTGCTCTGGCTGACGGAGCGTCGGCCTCATTTGAAGCCTAAACTCTTGATTATAAGAAGCCCTGTGTGCTGCTTCTGATTTTGGAGGAAGGGTGTGTATTTATTGTAGTTTAATAACAATAATAATAATGGACGTCATAACAGACCAGACATTTAAAGAAGTTGGCAAAGACAACACAGTCCAATCTAGGAAAGTAACATGATTTTATTGAACTGATGGCCTGAACGCCCTCCGGACCCCAGGCTACGCCCTTCCACTCTGCGTTTTGGCCAGGTACTTGTTGGTCGCTCTTCATATGGCAACGATCTTGTGATTTTGTTTCCTAGAGAGAGAGCACAAAGACGTCTCAGTGTTTTCTTATCGCTCTGATGCTCCCGGTTTCTTTCTTGATTGTTGGGTCTGGAAGTTTCCTTTGCCCTCGTGGTATTGTCGCGTCAATTATTAGGTGTCAGAGGTGTTCGCGCACGTGCGGCCAACCTCCGGGCACCGGCATTTCTATTTTCACACGGTGTTGCGTGTGATTTCACGTTCTCTTACGATCAGCTCCTTCCATCCGCAGCTGCCGTGACATCCCGCTCGCGGTGGCCTGTGGCACGCTCAACAGCGTCTCTGGCTGCTCAGTATTTTTACATCAAATCAGCAGGAGGCTGACATCTTTTCTAAAATACTTATGATTCGCTACTGTACCTTAATTGGGTGACCAAACAATTCATGAGCCTTGATTACTTCTGTTTGAACCGTACCTCCTGTTACCGGATTCTGCTCTTGGTGTGACGTGAGAATTTTGCTGTCGCCTGTGTCTCCGGTCAGAGTAATGTATACCTTATTTTATCACGCTTACTTCCCATTCTGTTAATTTCGTGAGGTCTCCTTCAGTTCCTTAACAAATACATGTAAAGACGGTGGAAGAAGGTTTGCTTTACTCATGTTCTACCCAGGATCCAGTGCGATCTCACTTTTTAATTGGAACGTCCAACAACGTACTTCCAAACGCAGGAGACACATTTGTACTCGAACCACGTTTGCATGCACTTTTTGCATGTTGTTTGTGTTCAGACTTCTCTTGTGAATTCTTGAAAATATACTTCAGAATTCTTAAATCATTGAACCTGTGTTGCAGGGCTGGAGCTGCCTTAAATTGGGCAGATCATTTCTTTCTTTCTTTTTTTTTTAAGATTTTATTTATTTATTTGACAGAGATCACAAGTAGGCAGAGAGGCAGGCAGAGAGAGAGAAGGGGGGATGCAGGCTCCTCACCGAGCAGAGAGCCCGATGGGAGGCTCCATCCCAGGATCCTGAGATCATGACCTGAGCTGAAGGCAGAGGCTCAACCCACGGAGACCCCCAGGCGCCCCTGGCCGATCATTTCGTTCCCTTTAGATTCTTTACAGAAAAAAATGCCAGTCGCCGTGTGAGGTCAGTATCGGCCAGTTACAGAGGGACGACCTCAGCAGGATGGGAAGGGGGTGCCTTCAGGGAGTCTGGAGGCAGCTGTGTTTGGGGGTGACTGGGGTGGTGAGCTGCGAGGACACAGTGTCCAGCACGTGCACTCGTGTTTCTGAGGGCAGCCGGCAGTCCCAGACGGGTACCTGTGCAAACTTCTCTGACCAACAGCACGTGCTATCCAACAGCTGGCACTGTTTTCATATTGTTTCACTTTGTTGAAGAAAATCGCAGGTAATGATTTCCAGTTGGTGGGAATATTTCACACTGCTTATAGGGCTTTCTGTTGCAGCAGCAATGCCCGGTACTTGCCACCTGCGCAGAGCTATGATGGTGGAGCTCGAGCTATGACGGTGGAGAAGTACTTTCAGTCTGGTTGATTTTCATATCACTTTGGTTTGTACACATCCTTATTTGTTGGGGTGGGATGCTTATAAGGTTTTTTGGACAAATTTATCACGTTGGTTTTTGCATTTTGACGTCTTTTTCAGGGCTTGTGCGAAAATGGGTCCAGTTCAGTAATAAGGTTAATTTTGACCAATGCTCCACGTGTCTCTGAGAACAGGACGTGTGTTCTCTAACTGTTGGGCGCTGTGTTCAATATATATTCCAGGGATACGTCTTTTTAGTTGGACTATTTGAATTTTCTGTAATTGTACTAATCACATTTTATTTTTCTCCTAATTACTAAGAGACATTTGTCAGTGTATCCATTTCTCCTTATAATCCTCCATTTTTGTTTTCTGTATTTTGAATCTGTGTTGGTAGGTGCATTCCTGTTTGCGAATGTTGCGTCTGCCTCGTGGATTTGTCCTTGGACCATGAATTGCTTTTAATATTTAAAAGCGATGCTAAAAGAGCATTTTGGCACCATTTGGCATGTTTTGGAGCCATCGCTTGCTTGTATTTGGGAAATTCAGAGACCAAGTTGTCTTCCAGGATAAACGGTAGAATGGCCGATTTTCTCTCTCCTGACCTTCCATTCTTGAGGGCAGGGACATATGACCAAGACTTGTCCATTTGGAGCAACCTGCCCAGACAACTGGCTCAAAGATTGGCATCGTAAAAAGTGGTGCTGGTGGTACTGTCCTGTGTCCATGGCTGGTCATGCCCCAGTGAGGGCTGTGTGGACGCGTTCGGCAAGGACAGCAGTTGTTTCTACACTAACTGGTTTTGGCAGTAGCTTTTCTCACCGCTCAGGCTCCCATGTTTGGGAAGGCAATGCAGTGGGTACTCGACATCGTGTCTCTAATCTCCCAGAAACATTTCCCCTGACACACAACTGAAACCCATGCCTAAATCAACAGAAATAAATCACAAACTTTCTTAAAAACCCTGGAGTTTCCAGTGGGGGTGGAAAGAAAGAAGGAAAAATTAGATTAATACAATTGAGGACATTAAAGAAAGGGAGGGTAAGGAAAAAACATGGTGAGTGGAAAGCATCAAAGAGAGAGAGAACAGAGAAGAATTCCAGCCAGGTATATCCATGATCCCAATGAAAAAGAATTGATCTCATCATTTCCAAGACAAATTTTCAGGGTTTTTAAAATCTGTTAAGAGAATAGTTATAAATGTAATGGCACAGGAATGTTGAAAATAAACAGGAAAATATACAGAAGGAAAATATTAACCCAAAAGACCAGAGTATATTTTTGCTTTAGTGTTAGATAAAGTAGACTTTTTTTTTTTTTAAAGATTTTATTTATTTATTTGAAACAGAGAGAGAGAGAGATCACAAGTATGCAGAGAGGCAGGCATAGAGAGAGAGAGGAGAAAGCAGGCTCCCCGCTGAGCAGAGAGCCCGATGCGGGCCTCGATCCCAGGACCCTGAGATCATGACCTGAGCCGAAGGCAGAGGCTTTAACCCACTGAGCCACCCAGGCGCCCGATAAAGTAGACTTTTAAGACAAAGTTTCACAAGAGGAAGGGTGGGAGTGAGGAGAGAGGAACAGGAGACGGTGAACATAAGTCTTTCAAAGGCTGTCCTGGTAAGTTGAGTAGGGAAGTAGGACAATAGTTTGAGAGATAAGTGGATTCAAGAGATTAAGATGTGAAAAATAGCACCATGTTTTTTTTTAATGTGAAAACAATGAAACACAAAACTTAGAATTTGCCACCTTCACCATTTTAAAGCCAACAGTCAGTAGTATTAAGTGCATTCGTGTTGTACCATTATTACCACCACCCGCCTTCAGAACTTTCCCAGGCCAAGTTATTTTATGCATGATCATAATGGAGTGCTTCCCTAGGTGATGCAGGTGAGTGGGGAAGAGTCTTGGAGAGACACCTTGAATGGACAAGAAGGGACAAATTGGGCTGGGGTTGGCCTTAGGCTGGAGCAGGGACTGCTCATGTGCTATCCCAGGAGGTGGGCCAGGTGATGGGCACAGGTGCTACGGGAAGAAGATGTGGGTCACGAA